ATAATCGATCTCTTCCAGATTATGACATACCTGTGAAGACATGAACTGCCTAACATTGATGTTACATTAGCCAAAAAGTGGGAAACATGAATCTCAGATTAGTGTCATACGTATTATTTTATTTATTTATGGAGCAGTTAGTAACATTATTGTGTAGTTCAGTCCTAAAGCTTCTGATTGATCCTTCACCCATTACTGTATGACCTACATTTTGGAAATAACCGTAAGTTGTGTGAAACCCATCGTTGTGTTTGAAACCAAATGTTTTATTTTTATAAATTATGGTACATTATGGTCAAGTAATGTAGCTAAAATGCTTATGGACAATAACCACTAGACTTTGTGTTCTGTTGTTTGTCGTTGGTAGGGCAGAATTGAGTGATTCATTGTGGCGATATATTTCAGTATTCGAAATTCAGCAATTACATTAAAGACCAATCACTTTCAAGGTAAGGCTGAGTCAGCAGTATCACATCAGCTCAACAATTACAACCGGACAAAGTTATAGCAAATTGACGATGAGGTCAACTCAGGAACCTAACAATTAAAGACTTCCTCAAGGTTGTTTACAAACTCATGATATCTTTAGCAGTTTATCAAACTACTTTAGAAGCTTCTCAAGATCACGTTTCACTGTTTTCATGTACTGAGGAGTGAACAGTGTGAGGGACCACAATACTAATGTAGATAACGTATATAGTAAGTAATTTCTAATGGTTATTCCTAGATAGTATTCTTCTTTTCTCTCTATTTAAATGTTGCGATCGACTTCATATTTACTGACATAACATGGCATATTGAATACTTGAACAGTGACCTTCAGAAACTTTCACTTGATATTAGCTTGATGTCTCAAGAAACAGATAAAGGTAGTAAGGCAACAGATGAATTATTGAAAGATTAAAATATGTACAAAATACAACAGTCAGAATGTTAAGAAGGGACGTGAATTATTCCAGGCTTTTTCTATAATATCAATCCCTGCTGAGTTTATCTTTTCGACCAGTTTCACATTCACATGTATGATCACATATCTTTTCTAGGAAAATCGAAGTACATTGGTTAGCCGGGGAGAACTTCAAAGATTTTTGACGTTTTCCCAATATCTGAAGAATGCCACTGATCAAAATTTACATTTAATCCATACATAGTTTTCTTCCTTACCGCTGACCTATATCTATTCTCCACAACAGCTGTAATCTAGTTAAAAATCTTCTTCTATTGGTTCGTTGAATCTTTCAGCCTTAAGCTTGAACAAGAAGTTGTGAAGTGGTCATGAAATATTTAAGCACTATTTATAGTAAAGCATACCGTGCTACATCTCAACTGAAGATATTATTTTAACACGTACACTGGTTTATACTGTAACTTTACAGTTTCACTTAGATTTTTAAGCGAATATTGACTGAAGAGCATCTTTACTAACTATGAATTGACCTATATGACCTTAAATTACACTACAGTATATCATAAAATTGAACATTTATCTTGCAATTTGTTTTAATGTGTTCTATTGATTTTATTTTGTTAGATATTCATCTTTACCAAGTGATATTGAACAGTTAAGTTTTGTTTGAATTGAGCTATTGATTTTTTATGAATTGAAAGATAGCCATTTTGTATAGAAATGATAGACTTTAAAGTCAGAGTAAACGATAGAATGATAAATAAGTGTGAAATAATCCTGTTTACCGGGGCTAACAGAACAGGATTGAAAGCGTATACCAATTCATCTATCTGTGTAAAACTGGATGTTTTTGCAAAAACAATGTTCAATACTATAACAGAGAGCTTGTGAGAGCAAGTGCATAGGAAGCATTGAAAGAAGAACCTTAACTCGATGATATGAGCATGTCCAACGAAGTTTTTGTTTAAACGTAAGAAGAAATTTAACAGGTGTGATAGCCAGATATCTGGAAAGCGGAAAATGTGAGTCTCACTGGTCCTATTATTTCGTCTATCTTAAAAGCTCGGTTCAAGATATTTCGATTGACCCCTCATCAGTCTATGTTGAGTAGAATCGATTGTTCAGTATTATCCTATACTTGTGCTTGAATTCGGTTGCTTCATTTGTGTAAATTATTGTGTCCTATGGTCAAAAGTAATTTCTCTATACGTGTACATATGAACTAGATCTTCTGAAGTATATGGTCAGCAAGCATCAGACTTTGTGTTCTGTAGTAAGCAAAAGGGAGAGTCGAATTGCAAGCACGAGACGAGTGACTTTGAAGGCTTCATTAAAAAACAGCTGAAATAACTAATCAGGTTTCGGTATTTTGACTTGAGGGGTAATTTTTCACAAAATACTAAGCCATATTTGGTTATCTCAGCGGTTGTAAAGGTGACCTTTAAAGTCACGTGTATGAGCCAATCACGTTCAATGTCAGCGTTAAAAATGAATAACCAGAATCACGTGCTTAAGGTTATTACAAACAGACAAATTAGCAACGGGTTTAACTCAAGAATATATGAGACACTAAATGAATATCTCTAAAGTCTTCAAACTCAAAGATCTACAGGCAAAAACTAACAAGTTCACAGAAGAGGCAGGGAAACAAAGATAGCACTTCCTTCAAGTCAACATAGAGAAGAGAGAGGTGCTGAAGATACCCAACCAACAATAACAACAACGACAAGCACCAGAAACCCGAGAAATCTAAGGGAACTAGTATCCTTCACCCACCTACCTAGGAGGCAGCATCGTTTCAAATACAGGCGGCGACAACTTCACTGATGAAGATGTGAAATCAACGAGGATCGGAAAGACAGCAAGACAGGAGGCTTTCATCAAACTGAACTAATCAGTGTGGAGATCTACTGCACTCCACTCAGCAGAAAGCGTGAACAACATCCACATTTTAAACACTAATTCAGTCTAATAAGTCGCTGATTCTATGTGATGGTTGAGAGAGTTGGCGTGTTATGAAAAACAATACGAACAAACTACAGACACACATCACATCAACAGCTGCCACCTACGCTCACTGGATACTGACACAGAAGATCAGATGGATGGACATGATAATAAGAATCAGCAAGAAGGAAGTGCGACTAGCTGGCTGGCTGGGTGGCTGGGTGGCTGGCTGGCTGGCTGGCTAGCTGGCTGGCTGGCTGGCTGGCTGGCTGGCTGGCTGGCTGGCTGGCTGGCTGGCTGGCTGGCTGGCTGGCTAGCAACGAAAGAGACCAAGAACCCGTCGCCCAACAAATATGAAGGAGAAAGTTGAGGTAGATTGCATTGCTTCGGGCATACACTGAGAAGATAATTTGGGGACATCACGCGCCAGACCAGGCCATCGAATGGAAGATAAGTGGGGAGAGATAAGTTAGGCGTTCGAGAGTGCTACGGAGGAGATTGTGTGAGGAAGAAATGAAAGCTGGTGGGCAGTGGTGGAGCCAGGTTGCAAAGACTGGAGAGAAGAGAATGAAATGGAGTTATGCTAGTGAATCCCTATATTCCACTAAGAACCCAAGGGATAAATAACAATAAAAATAGTCATCAGACTAACAAATAAAAAATACTTTGCCTATGAATAAAAAGGAGGTCTTAATTAAGTTTTCTGTACATGAGTAATTTATTTTTATTTGTATTATGTCTAGCACTCAATCTACTGCCTTCTGGTCAGTTATTTTGATGTTTTCTGGTGCTTTGTGTGCTTCCGTAATTCCGTCACTGTTTGTTTATCAACTTCGTCTAAATTGTTGGTAGTGTTTGACTGTATTTCGTTAGCATTTATCTAATATTATCGGTCTAAGCGTATAAAAATTATCACCGATATCGGCGGAGGCGTGTAGTTTCTGTTTACTTTCTCTTGTCTCTTCTGAAGTCATACCTTTAGTGTTATCACCGAATTTGTAAACCTTTATTCGTTTTTAAAAAATAAAAGTGCATTATATCGTTGAGAATTACAATAATTCGGTTGTAATTTTAGGCTGTATGCAACTGATAAACATTCGTGAAGTGAAATGACATCAGCGGACAACACGAATCTGTTCTTTGCCAGTATATTTGCACTTATCAAGCGAAAGAATGCCAAGAGAAATGCAAGCGATGAAGATCGTTTTACAATCATTTGATTTCAAACACAGCGAACCTATTCTGAAATACATTTTGTGTATACGATGAACAGTTGGTCTGTGAATAGTACACTGTTTAACAGTTTATCATAGGAAATAACTCTAGCCAAAACTTATTGACTTGCTCATAGCCAAAAGACTTCCAAAACTCTCTGAGACATCATATGTGTGTGAGATACAAACAAAAGTACTCAAAAGACATTGATATTAAAGAAATGACTACTGGAAGTATATAATCTTGGCAGTTTATCCTCAGTATTTGTTGTACTGAAGGTCAAAGTATTATCGAAATGATTCTTTCTAGAAAAAAAGACAGTTTAATAGTTTTTTTAACCTGGAGAATATAATGACGATAACGAAGTTTATGTGTGAAAATTCATGTATTTAATAGTAATTCAGTTTACCATGAGCGATTGCTCTACACGAAGAACCTTAAAATCATGAACTCTTCAAAAAAGCTAAACTCTTCACTAGTTATTTGCTGTATAATCTTGACGTGAAGATCTTCGTTATATGTCACAGAACGCTTGAGTATGATATCAGGTTAAAATATTTTTGTGAACTAAGGTGGTAAGGTTAACATTTTGCGAACAGTAAGTGCAAGTTTTTAGATAAATCAATCTGAAGCAATGAATAATGATGAAATGGGAAGTTTGTCTATCGTAAGCACATACCTAGAGAATTTCACTTCTATGTAGCAATCGATTGGTGGAGGTGCAGTTCATTGGTCGGGTTAACTAACTTTCAACTGACAGACCACAGGTTTCGACTCCATCCCACCTTCCGAGGTTCGTGTAGACATGCATTATCATCAAACTTCAAAAAATCTTTTTGGCTTATCTTCCAGTGCAGAAATCCGCATATAAGTGCTGAGATAACCTTACTCATTCAATTTAGCATCCAGTCTCACAATTCATGCCTCAAACTATGTTAAGTGACGAAAAATAGGATAGTCTGCAGACAGTGCTAACAACACTGTCGGCATCTGGCATGTTGTCATGTAAGCGCTTCATGCGGCACTCTAGATTAAAAATATTGCTGTAACTGAAGAGATTAAATAAAATTGCCCCTGAAATTACTTCCTTCATACCTTGAAAAGAATAATGGCCAGTAACGTCAGTCAGCATGGTGTTACTGCAACCCCCACGGAACTGATGTCCCTCCCGAGATTTGAAACCCACGCCACTCAGTAGGACTGGACTAGATACACTGACTGGTCACCGGAGGGTAACCAACTTCATATTGTCTAGTCCTGGTTGTCGATCGAATTCTATCGATCACCTTGCAGTGTGGCCACCAGACTGGGTAGCTCAGCACCACGATCAGCTTTCATAGATGTTATTTGGCACTGACGACTAGACAACACGAAGCTGGTTACCCAATGTTGACCGATCAGTGTACCTAACCCAGTCCAACAGAAGGCCAGTTGAGGCCCAAACAGCTCAGTGGTAACGTCACTTAGTACAACACTATATACGCGGGTTCGGATCTTAGGTGGTACATCATTTCTGTCGGGTTGCAGATACTCCTTGCTGATGAGTGCCAGCAAGCAAGAAATCTATGTCCAGGGCTTCCTGCCAACTGCCTCCATCCAACTAACAAAAATGCTATATGTCAGATAATACCAGTGATTACAAAAAGAATTCAAATGACAAGTGTACTTAGAGGGAACTCAAACCTTAGGATCCCAGTTATCACGTTTTTGTTATTTCGAAAACTAGCAAAACTGAATTTCTGCATTAAAATAATTCTGTCTGGCACCAGTTCGACTTTTTAAGAATTAACCTTCTGCTTGGAGAAACAATATTAGCAATAAAAACATGCAGAATTGGCTGTCATCGATTTGAAAGATGTGTTGAAAATCACAGAGAGTAGTTTTTGAAAGCCTTAAAGTCAATAACTTTCTCTGCCTCTTCAAACCTTATTTACAAGGAAGCCATTAGAACGCAACGGAGGCGCTGCATGAAAGTATACCGAATTCACTGCATGAACAATTCTTTTAGAACCATACTTGTAACGTAGATGTTAGTTGTAAACTCTTCGGTGAGAAATATAGCTCGATTGATGAGGTTACAAACTTCCACCGAATCAGGTGACCTTGAAATCTGTTTTGCATGTCTAGTCATCATCGACCGTATCTCTCAATATTAGCCAAACGAGGATGATAGTGAATCAAGTTTAAAGGCTGCTAGACTGGATCATTCATCAATCCATGAAGTCTCTAATTGTTCGTCTTGGTTGTGTAGGAGAATATGAACTTTCATATCAGGATCCCTGTGACAACCAAAAGTGGTAGTTGTAGTCTAGAGGTTATGTGGGTCGATTTCAGCGGCGGATATGCACTCATATATTATGTTGGTCTGAATCATACTTTGTCACTTGCTCTTCCACCCTCATCTTGTGAGTTCCTAAGACGTTTGACTAAAAAATATCTATTTCTCTGTCTTTTACCGTGATGTGAGATTTGGTAACTCACTCCGTTGAGCAGTAATGGTAGGTCCTATTTCGATACTGTCTAACTGATCTTCGTGATTTCGTCCACTTTTGAAATCAAAATGTAAATACAGACTTACTTTTGTTGTCTAATTCGTTACTCTCTTTTAAAGTTTTTCAGATAACTACTGTCACTCAAGCACTAATCCATCAATCTAGTTCCTCAAGATGCAATTGTTGATGATATTAAAAAAGGATAAGGTTCATCTTTCAGCATACCAGAATCTAGAAATTAGTTAAAATCGATAAAATAATGTAAAACACTGTCAATGAAAATGGATTAACTCCAGATGTTTTAGTGAACTGACTACTCTTGTATTATTCCATCAGAAAATAGTGGTTGATAGGGCATGGAGCTAAAAAGTCTGAAACTAGGACGAAATACCTGTTCACTTTTGTTTGGCTTTGTTTGCTCATTCGAATGGCGCCACATTTTATTCAAATGAAGACTAGACAGCTAAACAAACCATATCTATTTTTATTGTTGTTTAGTATTGTATATAAAAACTAGACACATAATCAGACCATCATCATCAATCACAAAATCTTGTCGATATTTATCTCACCAGTCAACTTTAATCATTAGTCATACACTTAGTAAATAATAGTAATAATAATAATAAAATTACAACCATATTGCATAAAGTTTTAAAAAGGTGACTCACTTTGTTTGAACAAGCTATTGCTGAAGCTATCAATCAATTCAAGGTCACACCTACATTTAAACTAAGCACTGAGAATAATATACATTAAAAATTAAATTAAGTCTTTAAAAAAATCCGTTGTTAAACAGAAGAGCAGGACATTAGATATAGTCGGTATTTGTATAAATCTCGGCGTGTTTGAAATAAATAATTGCAACGTCTCATACAGCAGTCTGATTCAAGCTTCTGAAAATGATGGCAACGAAGGGCAAGCACGGCCTATAGTTGTGGCAGCGCAGGGGATAAAAGAAGTCAGTGATGTTACATAGTTCAAAGCGGAGGCAGGTTGATACCACTCACCATCTAGTGCAAGAAACCTACATTCAAAATCAAGTTGAAAGCCATCAAACAACCTGGTGATAGACGATCACACTTCAAATTGAACAACCATAACAGAAAGTAACTAAAGGACGAAAATACGAAGGGTATCTTCACGTCGTCAGACATAAAGACAAATTGGGAGATATTGAGCAACATCTCTGAGGAAACCAGCATGGAAGAACACTGGAACTGTTTGAAAGAGATGTGGAAGGAGACCTGCATAACCATGATGGGAAGGAAGAAGAAGTAGGACAAGACAAGGAATGGAATGGATGTCGACGGATCTCCACATGGAAGGTGATAGAGCAGGAAGAGGAGGATGGTGATTGATGGTGAAGCAGAAGATGAATCAGTGCATTGCAAGGATCAACAACGTGAACAGGAACTGAACACATCTAATGAAACACTGGACAAAGAAGTGAGGAGGAGTGTGTACAAAGACAAAGGACACTTCTACGACACACTTGCAAGTGAAGCATAACAGGCTGTAGGTAGGAGAGACAGAGAGCAGGTTAATATCTGGAGGGGAAGAGATCGAGACACAGATGAAACCAATGAAATGTAGTGAATGAAACTTAGTCACCACCAGAGAGTAGAAAAGAAGCAAACGATGAGCTGATCACTTCAAAATTCCCTTCAACTGACCACCACCACCACCAACACCACCAACACCACCAACTACAACTACAATCGTCCAGAAATGCCACCAGTAGACCACCCACAGAATTACCAGTCAACACTACCCCTCCAACAAAAGCAGAAGTGAAGTCGTGAGCGGCATAATGTTGCAGAAATCCGGGAAGGCAGCAAGACTAGATGGAATCCCGTCAGAAGTACTGAAGATAGACATAGAGACAGCAGCAGCCGACATGCTCACATCACACGACTATTGCAGAAGGATTGGAATGACGGGAGGAGATGTCCCTGAGCATTGACTGGAAGAAGGGCTACATTGTCAAGTTTCCAAGGAAGTGTGAACTTAGTTTTTGCGGGAACTGGTGAGGAATCATTCTGCAGTCGCTGTTCACCTCAAGCAAAATATTAAATCTCATCATCCTGGAGAGACTGAAAAATGCACTGAATTTAAAATTATCACTGGAACAGGCTGGCTGGCTTCACGAAGAACAAATCATATGCGGATCAAATTGCCATGCTACTCTGTGCAGCATCATTGAACACAGTATGGAATGACAGTCACCTCAACTCAACTGAACCTCGACTTCATCAATTTTGGAAAGGCCTTTGATTGAGGCATCGACCGGGTGACAGGTAGGAGTAATATAAGGTTGTTGCCTACTATCACCTATCATCTTTCTCATTGTGGTGGACTGGATCATGCAGCAAACAGTGGGGAATGAGAAGAGGGCAAAAGAAGACTGGACCGATGCGAAGACCCTAGAAGTTTTGGGTTTCACCGGTGACGATTTATGTCTAATGGCTCGCCAACTCGGAGATCTACAGGCGAAAACTAACAAGTTGACAGAAGAGGCAGGGAAGCAAGGACAGGACTTCCTTTAAGTCAACATAGAGAAGAGAGAAGTGATGAAGATACCCAACCAACAACAAGGAGGAGCACCAGTGACCATCATCGATAGCAATCTAAACGAAGTAGTCTCTTTCACCTTCCTACTTACTAGTCAGTGTCGTCTCAACTACAGGCGGTGACGACTTCACTGATGAAGATGTGAAATCAACGAGGATCGGAAAGACAGCAAGACAGGAGGCTTTCATCAAACTGAACTAATCAGTGTGGAGATCTACTGCACTCCACTCAGCAGAAAGCGTGAACAACATCCACATTTTAAACACTAATTCAGTCTAGTAAGTCGCTGATTCTATGTGATGGTTGAGAGAGTTGGCGTGTTATGAAAAACAATACGAACAAACTACAGACACACATCACATCAACAGCTGCCACCTACGCTCACTGGATACTGACACAGAAGATCAGATGGATGGACATGATAATAAGAATCAGCAAGAAGGAAGTGCGACTAGCTGGCTGGCTGGGTGGCTGGCTGGCTGGCAGCAACGAAAGAGACCAAGAACCCGTCGCCCAACAAACATGAAGGAGAAAGTTGAGGTAGATTGCATTGCTTCGGACATACACTGAGAAGACAGTTTGGGGACATCACGCACCAGACCAGGCCATCAAATGAAAGCCAAGTGGGAAGATATAAGTTATGCGTTTGAGAATGCTACGGAGGAGATTGTGTGAGGAAGAAATGAAAGCTTGTGGGCAGTGGTGGAGCCAGGTTGCGAAGACTGGAGAGAAGAGAATGAAATGGAGTTATGCTAGTGAATCCCTATATTCCACTAAGAATCCAAGGGACAATATTATGAAATTTATCACAAAATGAAGCAGTATTGAGTGACTTCTCGAAATTGTTATTTTCATATTGGGCCTAATACTTATGTGATTCTCTTTGGCCTTTTATGCAAAAATATTGATTCGGAAACTTTTGTGTACAATTATCTTAGCGTTTTAACAGGATAGATGCAGATGGATGATATAAATATGGGACTGGTCTTGACCGGTTGCTTCGGTTAACAATATCAAGTGAAGTGGTCGAGTGTTTTGTTACTTGATGTGTTGTCATTTTGAACCG